GACACGGCTTACAAAGGATCCCGTCCTGCAAAAGGAGTATAATAGGGTACTAACAGAATATGAATCACTGGGACACATGTCCAGGATAAATGGTAGCATTTCAGCAGACTCTTCCGATAATTACTTTCTACCCCATCACGCTGTGATAAAGGCGGAAAGCACCTCTACAAAAGTTCGGGTCGTCTTTAATGCCTCAAGCCAGACGGCTAATGGTACAAGTTTAAATGACGTACTTTACCCAGGTCCAGTACTCCAAGCAGATCTTCCATTATTAATACTCCGCTGGAGATTATATCGGTACGTTTTTAATAGCGACATCGAGAAGATGTACCGCCAAATTTGGGTGAATAACAACCATACCAAATACCAGCGAATAGTTTATCGTACAAACCCGAACGAACCTGTAAGTCTATATGAATTAAAGACTGTCACTTTCGGGATTAATAGCGCACCTTACCTCGCGATAAGGACACTTCTGCAATTAGCCGACGATGTAGAGAATTCTTTCCCAACAGCATCTAACATACTACGAAAGTGCATGTATGTGGATGACGTGTTAGCTGGAGGACATAGCGTCGACTCTACCATTAAAGCAAGAGATGAAATCTCAGAAGTGTTACGATCAGCTGGTTTTCCACTACGGAAATGGACCTCAAATTGTCAGGAAATTCTTAAGGGCATCCCAAAAACGGACCTTCTTAGCGAAGGTTTCTTAGCATTCGAAGACACCAGCACGGTTAAGGCTCTGGGCATAAGGTGGAATGCCCATACGGATTTATTTTATTTTATGGTCAGACCATTGGAGGAGCACGACACTATTACGAAAAGGGCGATGCTGTCAGCGATTGCCAAGCTTTTCGATCCACTGGGATGGCTCGCACCAATAGTCATCGTAGCCAAAATACTCATGCAAAGTATTTGGCTAGAAGGCACAGACTGGGATGAGACTGTGTCTGATACTATTTTAGAACGTTGGCAGCATTTTACGAGACATTACCACGAAATAGATAATATCAGAATATCTCGATGGGTATACTTCTCACCTGGAGACACCATAGAGATACATGGTTTCTGCGACGCATCAGAAAAAGCATATGCGGCTACGGCATATATGCGTGTCAAAATAGATGACAAAATTTTGGTCAATCTACTTTTGGCAAAAACCAGAGTAGCCCCCGTCAAAACTATATCGCTACCACGACTGGAGCTTTGCGGAGCAGTACTGCTCGCAGAAATCATAGAATCTATAATCAACAACCTCAACCTAGGACCAGTGACGGACGGACTCGACCATCGTACTCGCATGGATACGAAAGCCGCCTTGTTCTTGGTCAACCTTCGTCGCCAACCGAATTACGAAAATCGTAGAAAAAGTAGGGGAGAAGGACTGGCTACACGTAGACTCGGCCTCAAATCCATCCGATTTGGCTAGCAGAGGACTACCTGCGTCAAAATTGGTCAACAATTCTTTGTGGTGGCAGGGACCTTCTTGGCTGCAAGAAGACAACTCCAAGTGGCCCGCTCAAGGAACAGACTATCATACAGAAGTTGAAGAAAAAAGAGCACACACTTATGCGACAACAAGAGCAAATGATATCGATATTCTTGACCGTTTTTCCGATCTACCGAGAGCTTTGAGAGTTTTATCATATGTTATGAGATTCTATCGAAGAACTCATTCCAAAACAAAAGCTTCATTTCAGGAAAATTCTTGTTTAATTTCATCTAATGAAATTAAAACAACGACAGAAATCCTGATAAAAATCTACCAGAAGCATTATTATGGTGAAGAATACGCAAACTTGAAGTCTAAAAAACCAATCGATGCGAAGAGTGAAATCCTTCCGCTTAATCCGTTCATCGATAAACATGACATCATCAGAGCCGGAGGTCGCCTTGGAGCATCCCAGGACTTAGCATACAATGAACGCCACCCGAGCATTATCCCGCATAACAGCAGGTTGTCCCGCCTTATTGTATCGTTTATTCACAAGGTCTCCTTGCATGGAGAGAATCAACTGATGCTACGCCACATCCGTACCCAATACTGGATTCCCAAAGTCAAGAACTTGATCAGGTCCACTATCCATAATTGTAAGACATGCATTATCTTTAAAAAACGGTCACAAACTCAACTTATGGGAACTCTTCCTCCGGAACGCACTACATTTACTCGCGCTTTCACCAATACGGGGGAGACTTTACTGGACCTTTTGATGTTAAAAGTTACCGCGGCAGAGGTTGTCGAGTTTCTAAAGGGTATGTCTGTTTATTTGTTTGTTTCACGACAAAAGCGATTCACTTAGAAGCTACTAGTGATCTTAGTACCCCATCTTTTCTAGCGGCGTTCGCACGGTTCGTGGCTAGAAGAGGATGTCCGAGAAATATTTACTCCGACAACGGCACTAACTTTGTCGGAGCCTCACGATCCTTACGATCTGAATTTAAAGCTTTTCTGTCTGAAACCCGAGAAAAAACTATCTCGAAATACAATCATCAAATGCTGACGTGGCATTTTATACCCGCTGCAGCGCCTCACATGGGAGGGCTGTGGGAAGCGGGCGTAAAGAGCTTCAAAAGCCACTTTAGAAAAATTGCGTCCGCCCACAAATACACCTTTGAAGAGCTTAGTACTCTTTTATGCCGTATTGAGGCATGCCTCAATTCACGGCCACTGAGTCCCTCTTCAAATAACCCTACTGACCTGGAGCCGCTTACTCCAGGCCATTTTCTCATCGGTGGACATCTTCTAGCCCCACCAGAATTAGACGTTAATGAAACTCCTGCCTCCATAGTGAATCGGTGGCAAAAACTCAAAGCACTGAATCAAACGTTCTGTAGGCGATGGAAAACAGAGTACCTAACCGAACTTCAAAAACGCATTAAGTGGAAGCATCCCAAAGAAAATATCAAACCTGGTGATCTGGTCGTCATCAAGGAAGACAACTTAACCCCCACTGAGTGGAGGTTAGGACGAGTTGTCAACGTACACCCTGGTGCCGACAGCAGAGTACGAGTAGTGGACATCTCGACGGAGAAAGGTCAAGTCACAAGACCACTGGTGAAGTTGGTTCTACTCCCGCCATACAACGATGGAAACTCGGAGCCAACAACCGCCTCATAAATTACCCCTCACCACTTTACTACATTCCACTTCCTTTTACCACAACATTCCACTTCTAGGTAGTAGGAGGGATCCCATGTCTAACCTTTTTTGAGATAACTTTGTTTTTAGTACCATGGAGTATATTTTGAGTTTTTTTTTGTATTTGGCGTGATGGTTCTTACCCGAGTTACCCCGGGTTGATCTAGCTATACAAAAACGACCATCCTCAGATCTGAATCCATAATTAAAATAACTGCAGAAGTAGCGAACTACTCCGCCTCAGAATAAAAGCAAACAGTAGAAAACTAGCAAGTTTAACCCGATATGTTTTTTTTGTTTCAAAACTTCAACCTCTCAAGCTTGCTGGTTTTCTATCCGCTTTATTTGGAAGAGATTGCATAAACTGTGTAGGCAGTTTATAGTGTAAGACCCGCCCGAAAGGAACAATTTAAAATAATACAAAAAAAATATTTAAAAAACTCACATATCTTCGGCTCCAAAAGGGTTCGGTTCGGTGACAATCAGCTTCTTTTTGTTTGTGTTTTGTTGTTCGTAATCGCACGATACGCAGCATGTCGTTATGCCAGCAATCCCTGATAAAAAACACAAACCAATTAGGCCTCGAATAAACGGTTAACAACAAAAAGTAGGTATTGAATAACTCACTATGGCGTTGCTTAGTCAATCAATGAAAAGGCAGCAATTTGGAAAATCTGTTTACCCAGAAAAGCCAGCAAATTAATCGGGTACTTACTTCGATTAAGTCCCTCGATGTTGGTGTTATTTGCCGCCGATCGGATTAGAAGCTGCAATAACAGTACATCGTGCTTGTAGAGACGTCACAATACCAGCTTTTGATATGGAAATCGATTGCTGCTCCATGGCCTCGTGAATGGAAGTTCGATCCTGATCGTTCATTTTGTCAAACTCATCAATAAGACATACACCTTGATCCGCCAGTACCAGGGCGCCTGCCTCTAAAGTCCATTCACGCGATATTGGATTTCGACGAACATAAGCAGTCAAGCCTACAGCACTGGCCCCTTGTCCGGTCGTGAAAACTGCACGTGGCGCTATTTTTTCCGTGTACTTAAGAAACTGAGATTTTGCCGTTCCTGGGTCGCCGCATATAAGTAAGTTTATGACGCCTCTAACTTTGTGTTTATCACCGGGGTTTTTAGACTCTCCACCAAATAGAGCCAGCGCAAGTGCGCGTTTAATATAGTCGTGGCCATATATGGATGGGGCCATTGAAGCTATTATTCTTTCTGCAATCCGAGGATCTTTACTCAACTTCTGAATGGTAGCGATGTCTTCGTCCGTAAGCGATTGTACTACTTGTTTGCTGTCCTTCACAACGATATGATTCGCAATAATGACGGTGGCGAAAACCGGAAACCCTTGCTCAGTGTTTAGCGAACCATCAGAGTTGTTTGTGTAAATACCAGTAACTTCTAACTCATCACCCGGCTTGCATAAGTCACAAAGATCCGCTAAAAGAATTACGTCCTTACTACGCGGAATCCGACCAGCGGGAATGCGACCAGGAGATTCCTGTAAGGTAATCTTCTGGTAATTCCGATATAATGTTTGTTCCATATCAATCGAAAAAGGGCCGGCACTTTGACACTCAGGACAGGAGCCAGGTTTAACTTCTGTATTCTGTGACTGTACAAAGGGCCCCAAAACGTAGCCACACTTCACACAATCGTATTTGATGACTGAAAGTTGAGGTAACACACCCGTTGTAGCTGTTACCACGCCCAAAGTACGCACCAGCTGGTTCAGATGGAGTTTCCGGAAAGTCCGTAACTCTTCTATAAGAGGCAATTCTGATATACGAACATGAATTTCTGTTGTAACACGTTCATATGTTGGAAATATTGATAAGACCATGTCTTTAGCCACCTTGTCGAAGATTTCTAGCATTTGAAAAGGTGCTTCAGGTAGAAAGTACGCAAGTACATGCTCTTTATTTGCCAAATCCGTGTAGGATACAACAAATGAAGATTTATTCTGTTCGCACATGCGTCGAATACGGTCCCGGTATGTGTACATACCACGTTCATCAACAAAGGTGCAGCATTGAAAATCGGCCAAATACTAAGTATACAGGATTCTAAGGTGGTGTCACCGCAGCTGGCTAAAACTTTTGAACGTGTACGCCAGGCGGACGACTATATGCCCGATTGGCAAGTAGAGCGCGTAATGATCACACAATTGGGCGCCGATTGGCGTAATCTTTTGGAAAGTTTCGATGAGAAACCATTTGCGGCGGCTTCCATTGGGCAGGTACATCGCGCTACATTGAAAGATGGCATGCAAGTGGCTATAAAAATTCAATATCCTGGCGTTGCGCAAAGCATCGAAAGTGATATTGATAATTTAGTAGGCATGCTCAAAGTACGGGGTGTCTTTCCGCACGGCTTCTTTATTGACAATGTGGTCAAGGTGGCCAAACGTGAACTAAATTGGGAAGTAGATTATACACGTGAAGCTGAATATACAGATAAATTTAAGCAGATGATTGCACCTAATCACGAGTACTATGTACCGAAGGTCATTAAAGAATTGACCACAAGCAGCGTACTGACTACAGAATTAGTGCCAGGTGTACCATGGGACAAGTGCTTCGATTTAAGCTATGAGCATCGCCATCACATTGCTTCGTCTATACTCAAGTTGTGCTTGCGTGAGCTGTTCGAGTTGGAATGCATGCAAACCGATCCGAATTGGTCGAATTTCCTTTATGATGTTGATACGAAGAGACTAATGTTAATTGATTTTGGTTCAACGCGTTTTTATCAAAAGCAATTCATACGTAATTATCGGCAGGTAATAATGCACGCTGCAGAGAATAATCGTGAAGGTGTCTTGCGCATGTCACGCGAAATGGGTTTTCTCACAGGTTATGAAACCAAGCAAATGGAAGAGGCGCATGTGGATGCTGTTATGATACTTGGCGAAATATTTCGCTTTGATAGTGATTTTGATTCCGGCCGGCAGAACACCACCGAACGCATTGCACATTTAGTACCCACAATGGTCGCACATCGCCTTTGTCCACCGCCAGAGGAAATCTATTCCATACATCGCAAATTATCTGGTATATTTTTGCTGTGCTCACGCCTAAATGTACGACTTAATTGTCGGCCGTACTATGATGAAATTGTTATTCAGAAGTTCAAGGAGTAATATTGGAAAGGCACAAACTGTTAGGTATATATACAGGAAGAAATGTTTACTTTAGAAAAATGCATATAAAAATATATTTTATATGCACTTATGTATTTCAATATATAGATATACATACGTTGCCTTTATAATACGATCGCCCAGCTGTTTTTTTAATCATTTCATTGCGCAAAAAAGACTGAAAGCGATTGGCGATTTCTGTTCGTGGTCCAAGCATACTAACCCATTCTTTTGTAGAAGGGCCTTTAGTATCTTCCAAATTTGGAACTATGCCCAGCAACATCCTGTAATTAAGAAAAAATTACATTCAAACATAGCTATATAATACGACATTTTACGCATACTCACCTAACCTTAAGATTACACAACCGCCGCGTGCCAGAAAAATATAATTGAAATGAGATATGAATTCGCCGTGTATGTATACGGATTTCCATTGAATTCATTCTGACCTTTTTTTTTTTTTTTAATTAAGAAATATCATTTCTTCTTGTATGTATGTATACGGTTTTCCATTGTATAAATTCGCCTTGAATGGTTTCTGACAATTGTACCAATGTACATACATACATGCATTCCACAAAGTGAACGTAGTATGTCGGTCAGCGTTCGGAACTTACTGCAATGGCAGTATATCTACTACACTTCTTAGCGAAATTGAATTTTCTACTGCGGCTTTCAACTCTTGAATTTTTTACCACCACTTGAATTATGACAATATATTTCGAGTCAGTAAAGATGTTTCTGCAACAAAGCATATAGTACCGTAAATATATTTTATTGTTGGGATAAAAATGTAAAAAAAAACAAAAGATGCATTGTCATAAGCCCATATCAATGCACTAACCTTTTATAAATATTTCACATATTTTTATGTAAAATTCAAAATGGAATAAGACATTTTGTAATAAAATTTGAAATTAAACTTATGCATTCTGCTGCATATGAGCTACCCTGTTTTTAGACGAGTATCGCCTACAGTGGCATCCAAACCTTTTTTTTTTTGGGTGGCAGACTAGTTGTAGGGTTGCGAGAATGGCTAAAAACTCTCCAAATGTAGAGTAATACGTTTTCGACAACTTCATGCAACGAAGTTGAACTGCTAATTACGAATATTAGTAGATCAAGTCATCAACGGAAATGATCTTTTTCACTTAATATTGGCACTTCCAAACATCATAAAGGCAATTTACAATTTTCGATGTAATAAAAATTTAACTTTGCCAAGGCATTCCTGCTCAATGGAATGTATGGCATTTGTGCGATCCACTTTTCATTTCTTTGTGGGTCGAAATCTTGCCTTATACATAATTTACACGAGTCAGTTTGCGCCGTACGAATGATAAACCCATTTACACAAACCAAACTGTTCTTATGCATCAGCGAAATAGTTATGCCCTTATTGTAATTAGCCAATGTCGATACACTCGCCACCCAACAACTCATATCAAGCGTAAAACTCGAACCAACGTAAAGTATCGACACAATTTCAGAGGAAACGATGTCTCAATTTGCCGCAATGAGGAAAAGG